TGTTTTCTGAAAAGAAGTCAGTTGTTTTTTTAAGGCACGAATAATGAATATATTGATGCACTTACGGAAATGTTGTAATCACCCATATTTATTTGATGGTGCTGAACCAGGTCCACCATATACTACAGATCAGCATCTTGTTGATAACTCAGGGAAAATGGTTCTTTTGGATAAGTTACTGGTGAAACTGAAGGCACAAGGTTAAAAAAATATTTTCTTTGTTTTTTGATCTTCTAACTTAAAATGTATTGTGAATTAGTTACTTCTAATATATAAGAACTAACTAATTTTTTACTAATAGTTTTGTCCATGGGAAACCGAATTTTGATGTTTTTTAGGTTCTCGTGTCTTGATATTTTCATCGATGTCTCGAATGCTGGATTTATTGGAAGATTACTGTTGGTGGCGCGGTTATCGCTACTGTCGCTTAGATGGACAGACTGTTCATGATGAGCGTCAGAAATCCATTGATGAATTTAATAAGCCAGATTCAGATAAATTCATTTTTATGCTTACAACACGCGCAGGTGGTCTTGGAATTAATCTTACTGCTGCGGATGTTGTTATCATTTACGATAGTGACTGGAATCCACAAGTAGATTTACAAGCGATGGTTAGTGTTTTCCATAATTTAACTTCTGGAAATCTCATATGCAATACCTTAATGTTACGAACTGTTCTCGCTTTATATAGCGAAATCTCGGTTTTTGTGCTTTACTTATCTTATAATCTTGTTTTGCAAGTTTAGCGGCTAGTCTACAAACTAGGTATTTGCTTATTTAAGGAAATTTGAAAAACTTTGAATGCTATCGTTTTTATTAAACCCGTGATTTAGGATCGAGCACATCGTATTGGACAGAAGAAACAAGTTCGCGTTTTTCGCTTTATAACAGATAACACTGTAGATGAAAGAATCATTGAGCGAGCCGAAATGAAACTTCATCTTGATTCAATCGTTATACAACAAGTACTGGACACTTTATGACAGTATCGAATTTGAGGCTTCTAGATTTGTGTTTTGAAATTATATATTTTGGACATTTAATTGATTGTCATCATTCTTTATCTTTTTTTCTATTATTATCTGCGTCGTCTCGCTAATACTCAAATATATTTTGTTTAAAATTTCAATTCTTAGATTTATGCCAGCCTCTTAAGTCAGCAATTATTATTAGTTGATTGGATATCTTGTTCTATTTGTTTTTTTCGATTTTTTAGGGACGGTTGACCGATTCCCAGAAAGCTTTGGGCAAAGAAGACATGCTGGATATGATCAGACATGGAGCTGATCAAGTGTTTGCTTCCAAAGACAGTACAATTACCGATGAAAATATAGATACTATTTTGGAAAAAGCAGAGCAGAAAACGGAGGTACAATCACCTATAGTCTGTAATGATTTTTGATATTTTTTCACATCTGATTGCTTCAAAAAGCATATTTGTTAAAAGTCGTACTCATATAGGCGCTAAATAAGAAAATTGCTTCAATGGGAGAGACATCGCTTCGAAATTTCGCTTTGGATGCACCAACGTTCGATGCTGATAGCAACTACACAGTTTACAAGTTTGAAGGAGAAGACTATCGTGAGAAACAGAAAAATGTTGGAGGGATTGGCTATTGGATTGAACCACCGAAGCGAGAACGGAAAGCGAATTATCAAGTCGACGCCTATTTTAGGTTATCTTTCACAAAAATTTTTTTTTTTTGATATTTTAGTACTGATGGAATTCAATATTAATTGATTTATTACTGTTTATCTGTCTTTAATTTTCAGAGCTGTGACTTAGATACAATAGGATTGTATTCGTTGATTTTCATTTCGACTGAATAGTTTATTATTTAGCACGAGGATATTTTCGTACCGTTTTCCTCGGTTCAAATCCTACAGTTTTGCTGATGTATTATTTGTAGAGAGGCGATGAGAGGAGGACATGCAGAACCAAAAGCACCGAAAGCACCAAGGCCACCAAAACAACCTAATGTTCAGGATTTTCAGTTCTATCCAAAGCGATTATTTGAGTTGCTTGAAAAGGAAGTTTATTTGCATCGGAAAACAATCGGATATAGAGTATGTCTTAAATTTTTTTATTACAAGTTTTCTCGATATGCATGGGAATTGTTACTCTTTGGTATCTCTATATAGACTTTAAGGTTACGTAAATTCAGAGCAATGGTCGATAGGATAAGTAGAACTGCCTGATCTTAGATGATCGTATAATACAGGAGTATATTTATTGCTCCATATTAATTAATAAACTGAAAAACACCTACTGAAGTACTGGAATGAAAAAGAAAGGAGTCAGTAACCTGATCATGACTTCTTATCCGGAGCATAACTTAAACTTTATGGCAAACGAATGGCACTTAATAGTTCCTATACTTAATAAAAAATGATTTATATTAAAACTTAATACATACTTTTTAGTTTATATTAAAACTTAATACGACTTAATACATTTTTTTTTTTGGTATTTTTTTAATCTTTTTGTCATTGGTAGCAGTATCATTTCATGGATTTGCGTTTAAATCACAATGAGGTCTCATAAAGTTTTTGAAATTGAATCGTTGATACAATATTGTGCGTGCGCTTATTTTTTGATATTCAGGCACAAAGACCACCAGATCTTGCAACTAAAGAGGCGGAAAGGAAACAAAAAGAGGAGCAGAAAAAAATTGACAGCGCCGTACCACTGACTGAAGAAGAGCAAAACGAAAAGATCCAACTGCTAACACAAGTAGTTTTGAAGTATTAAGTTATGCAAGTTGTTGAAGATAATCTTTCGTTACTATTGATACTTCTAGGGGCAAAGTAATTGGAGTCGTCGAGAATTTCAACAATTTATCAAAGCGAACGAAAAATATGGAAGACATGATTTGGAAAATATTGCGAAGGAAATTGACACGAAATCTGCAACTGAGGTTTTTCTTCTTTTTCTGTTAGTTAAACATTCATTTACGGTGAAGCTCGTATAAATCACTAGGTTATTTTGTTTTAGTATTGCTTTGAAAAGATTGAAATTGAAAAATTTTATTTATCGCTTCTCATCTTTAAGGTTGAAGAATATGCAAAATTGTTCTGGGAACGCCTCGACGAACTATCTGATCACGAAAGAATCTTAGCAACAATTGAAAAGGTTTATAAATTGCTCTTAGTGCAATAATTTTAGAATAATTTGCAAATTTCTATTGAAAATTTAAATTTCTGCCAAATATTCGTACACTTGTATATAGTTTTAAAATCTTCGTTTTAAAATCTGATATCTGAAATCGTCAACCAAAAGGTCTTTTGATCTTAGGGCGAAGCCCGAATACAACGACGACAGAGTATCAAGAAGGCACTAGATGAAAAAATAGCTAAGTACAAAGCTCCATTTCATCAACTTCGAATTCAGTATGGGACGAATAAAGGCAAAAATTACACAGAAGAGGAAGATCGGTATGAATTTTTTTATTTTTGCTGGATAAGAATTTGATTTAAAATGATTTTTTTTTCTTGGTAAACTGATATAGTTTCTTACGTAAAATCTGAAGTTTCTTCCTTAAGATTTATGGTCTGTCAATTGCATAAGCTTGGTTTTGACAAGGATAATGTTTATGAGGAGCTGCGACAAGCAGTTCGTTCTGCACCTCAATTTCGGTTCGATTGGTTTATCAAATCGCGTACATCAACGGTTTGAGATTTCCATGCGTTTTTCATCTTTCAATGGCTTCTCCTTCATAAATCAATGCTAGTTTTTATGCTGATTTTGTTTATCTTTGAATTTTGTACTTTTTATCTTAGGAACTTCAACGTCGCTGTAATACACTGATCTCACTAATTGAAAAAGAAATGGGTGAGGTAGAAGTTAAACGAAAGCACGGTCAGAAGTCATCGGCAAATACTCCGACAACTAATACCAGTGAGCCGAAAGTTACACCAGCGGCTAAGGTAATTTCTCGGATACTTATTAACAAAAATAAGATAATTATATATCTCCTAGTTCTCATCTTTCTAATCTAATGTTTAATTCTTTTTCAAGTCTGGTCAGAAACGCAAAAACGAGCAATCAACATCTAAAGGGTCCAGTTCTAAACGTCAGAAGTAATATTGGTTGCATGAACCATTGAAGTTTGCATCAGAAAAATTCGTCATTATTACTGCTTGTATCTCATAATACACGTAGCAACTTTTTAAGTTGTTCATTTTGAAATGAAACCTTTTGAAATAAGACCTCTTGCTCCGGCTGGATCTAATGAATACATTCCTATTTTGAGAAATCTGAGTGATTACATTATTTTTATTGCTTGTTTATCCTTGTTTGATGCTTACCTATTTGCAATATCTGTACATCAATCTCTATTGTATGATAAAATTTGAATATATTTCTTTGACACATGCATATTTGACATTCCTGGTAGTCATAAAAAACGTTAAGCTACGTGGTCAAGTCTTACAAGCAGTGTGGGCATCAAATGTGATTGTATAAACTGCATTAACTAGAATAACACTTGAAAATTACAATGAATATATGCATCCTTTATGTTAACGTGATCTAATTAGGACATTTTCTTTGTAAATTGGTTTGTGGTAATTAGTTACTGCGCTTACAGTTTGGATGACAGTACACTTTTGATATTGGATTCTTTTGTACTATTTGGATGGAATAACTTCTAAATTACGTAAGTACAAGTACTCTACAAGAATGATCACTATTTAACCAGATATTTTGATCTTATTAATCGTCATAGGAACAACATACATCGACCACACCATGGCTATCAGTGATACTAAACCATAATCGACGCTTGTTGCGAATGACATAATTAATCTGGGAAAAAATTTCAGTGTATAACAATTTCCCAACTTACTGATTAGATAAACAAATTGTTTTCAAGAACAGAAGTATGATCCTCCTGAACTCAAGAAAATAAAAAGATCGAAAGAGATAGCATGACTCATGAAATTTGTGGCCCTTAAGAGGGCCGTTGGGTTATGACCAACGTCACGGACGTAACATGTCTATGACGCTGTTTTCTTCGGCTTAGAAACCTTCGATTTTTTCGGCTTATTACTTGTCTTTGGCTTCCGTTTTGGCGATTTCGCAGTTGTAACTTTTTTCACACGTGGCTTCTTTGGAGCAGCAGAAGTAACCTTACTTTTCTTTTCTTTCTTCGATGTTATCTCCTTCTGCTTATGTGGTCCTCTCTTAGTTTTAGTTTCAGTTACAGTACCAAGTCTGAATGAACCATTCACACCAGCACCTTTTGCAAGCGTCAACTTCCCAGATGCAATACCTTTCTTGATTGCTAATCGAAGTTGAGAATGTACACGTTTGCCGTTATCACCCAACTGATAATGACCAGAGATATACTTGAGGATTGCCACTCGACTTGAACCTTTACGATCTTTCAGGGCAACAATAGCTTCCTTTATCATTTGAGAGTAGCTAGGATGGTTCTTCATTACTTTTGCGCCTTGTCGCTTCGAACGTGCCTTAGATGTGCCTTGAACTGCCGATCGTTTCTTCGGGGATTTGCCAGTTGGACCGCTTATTCGCGGAGGCGAAGGTAACTCTATAGCCGCTGCTTCCATATCGTCGATGGTTAAACCACACCCTATGTAGCAAACAATAACACAACTAACGATCGATCCCACTTATATATCACTCCACCTTCCCGCCAAAATTTCAGAAATTGGCGGGAAGCTATAAATCAAATCTCGTGGTCTCAACTGGAATATTTTTGTAGAATTGATTTACAGAAGGGGAAAAAGGTATATCTTATATATGTAAGGATGAATGTTACTCGCATAATACCCGTGTACTGCACGTACACGTATTACTTTTATTTTACACGTGCTGCTCTCGTATTATACGCATTATACGTATTACTCGTATAGATAACATGCATTTTGGATGGTGTAAAGCTTTTCTTCTCTTCATTGCATTAAAATCTATGATAATAGTAAGCATACATTATAATTGCTAAGCTTATAATCTTTTTCTAACATTTGATTAATTTTGCTTTTATAATTAAAAAATATACATCAAACAAAAACGAAGTAAAATAATTCATTAACTAAAAAAATTTGCATCGATCATTTTAAATTGTATAACATTAGTACAATGAAATTTTGCTCCTTTTTTAGCAATTTTTCAAAAAAATAATCAATTTTTTTAGCGCTTTTTAAAAAGTAAAAAGGAAATTTTCTTATCAAATTGCAATTATTTCAGTCATTTTTTAAAATATTTTTTTTACATTTAATTTATCATTGAAAGAAGAAAAAATTTCTCAAATTTTTTGTAGCACATATTTCTCCAATGTTTAATTTGAATTAATTTAAAAATAAAAAACGAAATAATAAGAATTATTATTAAATTAGACGATCCCTCAATTACAGTTTATAATCGTAACAGATAGTCCCTTAATTCTAAGAATTTTCCAGAAAGGCTAAAAGAAATAATGGCGCGAAGGGGCGTGTCTTGTGTGTGATAGAGAATTTTTGGCGGCAAAATGGAAAGCTATAAAAGGCGATGTCTGCTAGATGTACCTATCATTGTAATACTCTGACTTGCAGTGAGCGCTTGGTGTCCAACTCGATGGCTCGTACAAAGCAGACGGCTCGAAAATCGACGGGTGGTAAAGCACCGCGGAAACAATTGGCAACAAAAGCGGCAAGGAAATCAGCTCCAGCAACCGGTGGTGTGAAGAAGCCGCATCGTTATCGTCCTGGTACTGTTGCACTGCGTGAGATTCGACGCTATCAGAAGTCTACCGAACTGCTTATCCGCAAACTGCCGTTCCAGCGGTTGGTGCGTGAGATTGCGCAAGATTTCAAGACAGATCTTCGCTTCCAGTCTTCAGCTGTACTTGCATTGCAAGAAGCTAGCGAAGCCTACTTAGTAGGCCTCTTCGAAGATACGAATCTGTGTGCCATCCACGCGAAACGCGTCACAATTATGCCGAAGGACATCCAACTAGCTAGGCGCATCCGTGGCGAACGAGCTTAAACGTATTCGTTTTGCCCTGTGGAACAGTTTAGAAAAACCGTCTCACAAACCCAACGGCCCTCTTTAGGGCCACAATTCGATGAGTCATGCTACCTGAAGAGTCTGAGTTAATAAATATTGCTTGAAGTATTTTATGTGTTTTACATATTCTCTATTTCATGCGGTGCGTAATTGGCAGGAATTGTGGTTTGGTATCGATTAGGCGTTATGCTGTTAATGTCGGTGCGGTGATGGATACGTGCAGTTGGACTGAGTCGGTGTGTACTTGGAGTGATATGTTTGTGATCTGTTGTTACTTGTTAAAATTTAGAGATAAGTTATCAGCCATGTACTATGTATCTGTGACCAAGTCCCAAGATAACTTGGAGCCCTCGACCATTTTTTCCTGAATTTGCTTTTTGATTCTCAAGTCACGCTGTGACGAAATTTTCGATGAATTGTTGAATAATTGTCAAATAAAGATTACATTTGATAGTAATGGTTGTGTGTGCAAGAGTAATTGTTTTCGGAGGACTATTAAAGATTACGTTAATTCAGCTATTTCGGGTGACTGAAAAATTGTTAAGGGTTGGGGATAAGGATATCCTGGTCACCAGTGACTAATTCAAATCTCATACTGAAATTAGTCTCATAGACATACCGCTGCATCTGTTTAGTTTACTGTAAATTCCGGAGAATATTGCTTGTCCACGCATTGAATGTTGTTGTGTGCATATTTAGTGTGATTTGTACCAATCAATTGCCATCAATAAACTTTATTGGCAAATATCTCTGTTCAACACCACAAAGCAAATGAAAACAATACATCTCAGATTCATAACTGGAAATTTAGAACTTCCTAGAAGCACTACCAGAAAAAATATAAAGACTTCCTAGGGGGAAAAATAAATGTTCTTGCTCCGAGCCGGGCTTCTTAAGTCATCTATCGTTCTCATACGGAAGCCGCCATGCCGTACTAAATATTCTTGAAGAGAATCTCTCGCCGAACCATTGAGACGAAAAATACAACACTACACAAATAATTATGGAAGATACCCCAGAACACCTAAAGGTTACATCTGAAGCAATCAAAACACAACAGTCGCACTTCGGGCTTCCATCAACGTAACTCGTATTAATGGGTATTGAGGGTCACGCACCAGGTGATTACGAGGAAATTGCAGTTTAAAGAAATGGGTTCATTCATCGAACCAATGGACATTCATTCGTAAAGCGCTACGCATTATTATCATCAATACAAGTGTTTATTTTGACGAATCTCCTACGCTACACAATAGCTTTTAAAAACAACTTCCAAGTACTTATTTCGCCAAACCCTCTCATTAAATAGCTGCTTCTCACAACAACACCCAGACTTGATTGTAGAAGGGGACGTGACCCAGTACCAACGTAACATAATCGGTGAAACCAAGTCATTCGCCAGACCAGTCAACATCACAAACTAGACCTACATGGGTACAGCATGATCCATAGATTTGTGGCCCTAAAGAGGGCCGTTGGGTTTTGTAGCGCAAATGAGCCTTACGCCTTCTCTGCGGTCTTCTTCGGGAGAAGTACAGCCTGGATGTTGGGTAGCACGCCACCCTGAGAAATGGTTACGCCGGCCAACAATTTGTTCAATTCTTCGTCGTTACGAACTGCCAACTGTAAGTGTCGCGGGTTGATCCGAGTCTTCTTATTGTCGCGCGCAGCATTGCCTGCCAATTCCAACACTTCCGCAGCGAGATATTCGAGCACCGCAGCCAAGTATACCGGAGCACCAGCACCAACACGCTCCGCATAATTGCCCTTCCTCAATTTTCGGTGAATACGACCAACGGGAAACTGAAGACCAGCACGTGATGACCTCGACTTAACCTTGCCAGACGACTTTGCTTTGCCACCTTTGCCTCGACCAGACATCGTACCTTAGATCGTCGTAGTTTGCTTCTAGCGCCACGATAAAAATTTAGAATAGTAAGTCCTTACCGTCCAACCTTATTTATACCCTTCAGCGAGCGAAACTAACAATTAAGCCACGCCCAATTATCTGCTCATTTGGCGGGAAGAGTGGGCGTGGCCTAATATGTTGGCGCTCGGATTGATGGATATAAATAGCGAATGAGACGAGTAGCATATCACATCAGTCAGTCCAGTGGTGTTGTAGTGTTCGGTTGTTGTCGCCATAGTAAGCTAACAGCGAAGACCTATTGTTAGTTAGTAATGCCGCCGAAGCCATCAGCTAAAGGAGCAAAGAAAGCAGCGAAGTCTCATAAGCCGCGTAGCGGTGATAAGAAACGACGGAGTCGACGAAAGGAGTCTTACTCAGCATACATCTATCGGGTCCTGAAGCAGGTACATCCTGATACGGGCATCTCATCGAAGGCTATGTCGATTATGAACTCATTCGTAAACGACGTCTTCGAACGTATTGCTGCGGAAGCTAGTCGCTTGGCTCATTACAATAAGCGTTCAACGATCTCATCCCGTGAAATTCAGACAGCTGTTCGACTTATTCTCCCAGGTGAATTGGCTAAGCATGCTGTTTCAGAAGGTACGAAGGCAGTTACGAAGTACACTAGCTCGAAGTGAGTGGCGTACGTGTACTGTCTTGGCTCACCCACTAGAACCCAACGGCCCTCTTTAGGGCCACAATTCAATGAGTCGTGCTACCCTTGGAGATTTCTCATGTTGTGCAATGCTTTCCGTATTTGTTGTTTGTGGTGAATGTATGAATTGTAAATAAAATTCAACTTTTTGTTTTGTTATTCGTTTGAGCAAATGAATAGAAGAAAATAAGGTTTGGGATTGGGTTCGATTAGACTGTTGGCGAGTATAGTTGTCCTGACAGGAATACTGGGACATATGGGGGGAAGAGTTGGGGGACCCGTCTGAACTGGAATGTGTCCTGGTATGTACGAAAGATAGCTACGATCCCCTTGCGGCGATACGTTGTGTGAGATGGAGTCGGAAGTGTGGCGTTGGATATGTTGGCTTTTTATACTTCCTCTTTTTTCCTTCAACCGAATAATTGAGTATGTATTTCCACACTCGGAAATAATCGGCAAACAGATGTTTACATCATGGCCGCAATGCCAATCTTTGGTCGCTAACAGGTGTTTACTTCGAAATGCTTGCTTGTGGGGTCATGTGATAGGTCGAAGTTATTTAACTAGGTCATTACTGCCAAAAGACAACAAATCTTAACAGCCAAAGTAAATGGATGGGAATTATACATACACTACGAACACAGTGTGTAACAGATTTTCAAAATTTGAGGGAATAGAAATGTGAACATTTAAATTAATCGCTGCTGATGAAAATAATTTCATTGCAAACTCTATACATTTGATTGATTTCATCAATGAATTTGATTTGTTTCGTCGTCTGATTGAAGGAGATTATAACAGCTAAAATTAATGGGATGATATTAGAAATTATAAGCAAACATGAAAGAAGAAATTAGAAATATTCAGAACTAAGAAAGGAAAAAGAAGAAAAACCAAATAATCTACAAAAGATTTTAAAAAGTTGTTAGTAAGCTAAATTCATTATTGATTCAGTTTGCTTCATTTCTTAATTTTGAGAACTTACTGCATTGTAATGTTAAAGAAAAAAAAAAATTGATAAATCCACTGTAAACTATTCGCCTATTTTACAACTAATAGATGAAATTTAAATGTAACACTCATAGACGAATACAATTATTTGGTATACTATGATAAATTATACTTTGATAACTGAAAGAAATGATATGATAAGTTAAACGAAAACATATTTTATCACATTCATCTAATTAAATGATAATTTATTTCTTCAATGACAAATGATATGATATGATATGATATAATATTCTGTATTATCATATATTTTTATAAATATCACTGATAATTTCAACCACTGCTAAATTAAATTAAAAAATTATATTGCTCTTAAAGAAATCTTAAAATTTAACACTTAATTTTGATTGATTATTAACATTTTTGATTAAATTTACTTTCATATGTAAACAAATCAATGAACTAATGAAATCAATCAATAATCAATAAATGATGAATTGATTTGGTATTTTTTAAATTTTCATTTCAGTCATTCAGTTTTTTTCATAGAAATTACTCACTTTTAACCTATAGCAGACAAAAAAACAATCAAGTAATGCCCTTTTTTTTTTTTTAATTCATTAAGTTTGTTATTTCATATTAATTCTATTTTAGGCTGTAAAGTTTAATGATTAACTCGAGAGTTAACTCGAGAGTTTCATTCATATGTTCGTGAAATGATCTCAAAATTTTTTCCTCGTTTTGTTATATATTTATTTTACAATATTGCATGCTATGCTATGCATATATGTCTATATTTAAATCCCAGGATATCTGGTATATCTCGGTAATATTTCCCGGCAGAAATGTTAACCTTTCCCGCCAAAAATGACAGGGGCGTGGCTCTTAAGTTCAAGTCCTAGTGTGGGTGTGGCTTTATCGGTGTCCCGGTGAGGTCGCGGGAGCAATAGCTATAAATAGGCGATTGAGCTGAGCATATTCACTTTGGTAGTCAGTTCAGTTGTGTGCGACAGTTACCAGTGTTTTCGTTGTGATCGCTATTACTTGTGAAGATGTCAGGACGTGGTAAAGGCGGTAAAGGACTTGGAAAAGGTGGAGCGAAGCGTCATCGTAAAGTGCTGCGTGACAATATTCAAGGAATAACAAAGCCAGCTATTCGACGTTTGGCACGACGTGGCGGTGTGAAACGTATCTCGGGATTGATTTATGAAGAAACACGTGGCGTGTTGAAAGTGTTTTTGGAGAATGTCATACGTGACGCTGTAACATATTGTGAGCACGCGAAACGAAAGACAGTTACAGCAATGGATGTTGTCTATGCGTTGAAACGCCAAGGACGTACATTGTATGGTTTTGGTGGTTAAAACGACCTTACGAGATCCATCAGCGTGTAATTATCTGTATGCGCACAAAACCCAACGGCCCTCTTTAGGGCCACAAATCTATGAGTCATGCTTACTCAGAACTGATCGTTGTGTGTTAGATTGTATATTTAATGTTAAGTGATACTCATTTGGCTACGATTGATTCCTCATATTTTGTTTTGTATTTACTGGTCTATGTTAGATAAAAAAAGATGATTTTTTATATTGTGGAAACATGAAATCTATGAAGATTTAGTACCTATAATAGCTGCTCAGAAAGGGTACAGATGTCTAGGGGATGTCATGTGGGTGTTGGATTGTTTGTGTTAGAGATTGAGATGCTTTTCTTCGAGCAACCTGGGTGCATGTTTGGAGATCGTGCCAAGGTCAGCAAGAGGACTGATGTGTATGAAGGAGGTGACAGAGAGTCATAGTCCAATATCATGCTTGTGTTGTGTTGGTTCTCTGCACGTATATTCGATTTCTGCAGTGGCGACTAAATTCGAGCTGAAGACCCACTCTTCACTTTTATTCTCACTCGATCTGGAGGGAAGCCCATCCTTCCGTCTGGTTTTGCAAATTTAAGATAATTTAAAATTAACTTAGCAGTTTAATAATTAAGCAGTACTTATACAGATGAAATAGTATCAAATACAAATACATATGCAGATTTATACGAACATTATCACCGTTTCACAAACTTTTGTTCGGTAAAACCACTTGTACGTTGTAGTTCTCTGCGATGACTTCTCAACTGTTGCTCTACGGTCATCGTTGATGCAGCACTATTCAACATTGGTCTAAAATGTTATCAGTGTCAAATTATCGATAATACAACTGCAATCACAAGCACACATCATTATTACATACTAATACTACCAATGGGATTAACGTAAGAATTCGAGAAGTATTCGGCAAAAATTTCTCCACCACTTTAATCATAATTAAATGAAACACATATAACCTAATGAAGTTAGCTGTCTTTCCTTCATTTCTTCGATTCTCTTCCTCGTCTCGTAATGCATTTCTTTTGATATTTCTCGTACGAACTTCATCTCTCCAATTCGCATTTTGTAGCATTTCTTTTCGTTTCATTTCCATTTCTTCCTCCGTTAGTTGACGCCTTTCTGATTTCTGGAAAAAAAAATCAAAGTCAAATTGGAAAGTTAGGAATATGAATAAAAGATAAAAGGAAGTATTTTTATGATAAACCTTATAAATCTCAATTTGCTTTTTTGGAAGAGTTTTATAGGGATTGTCCACTTCTTCTTGCTTCCGTACTTCGTATTTTCCTATTTTCACCAAACCATATTTCTTCTTTTGTGATTTCCTATCAGCTTCATTATCTTCGTCCTCTCTGTTATCGCTTTCAGATGATGAGCTCTTAAATATTAAATATGGGAAGGAATAAATACTAATACCGGAAAAGAGAGGAAAAAATGATTTAAAAAGATACCTACATATTTAGGTCGTAGGTGTGCTGGAATATGACTATCCTTCTGCAAATGTTTCCCTTCTCGCTTTTTCTGAAAATCATCAGTGCCTTCTGCTAAACATCCAACAAGTGTTATATATTTGTAGTTTAGTCGTCAGTGAATGATGAAAATAATTTAAATGTGAAGAATGATGAAAATAATTTAAAACTTAGAAAACTTGAGACTCGACTTTTTGCTTAATATTCGATTTCATAGTCAAAAAAAAAAATATTTTGATAACAAGCAGCACATTAAATATTACGGATTAAAGAATATTTTGAAGAGGATTTCCATGCCAAAAGAATTTTCAGAAAAAAGAAAAAATGAACTGATTTTGTAGAATAAGAAAACCTTCCTACTTCTGTCGGTTCCGAGGACAATGAAGATACTGCTGTGTATTTTTCACTACCAATATGACGATGTCCATTTTTCTACAGATAATGTAATTTTTTTTTTATTTTGGTTAGAATTACAATAAACTTTGGAAAAACCGTGTAGAAAAAATTGACAACTTATAAAAATACAAAAAGCTTTACCTCAATGTGATCAAAAATACAAAAAGCTTTACCTCAATGTGATCAACTTTATCACCACACTCCGTGCTATGCTTCAATTTTCTCTCCTTCTTTTCTAATTTTTTCAGCTTTTTCAAACGTTTCTTTTCTCTCTTTTCCATCACCTTTCTCATCAACTTTTGCATTTTTAGCTGAACTAAAGGGTTTTCCATCTTTTCCTGCCAAATCCTTTCCTCTCGCATCTGAAAAATAAATTATCATTTGTGGCAATTTACGACAATAATTCTTTTCACGTTGTGCAAATTCAAATTGAAATTTTATATAGAATCTGAGCTGAATTTCCAGACTGGATATCCTTTATCAAAAAGCCATTTAAGATATAACCTTAATGGCCACCAATGGATCCTCGGTTCTCACAATGTCAACTTCCAAATTGGATATCCTTGATGTGGAAGCACCAGTTATACATCGCTGCGGCTTTTCTACTGCTTCAATTCCGCTTTCTTTCTCCTTGATGACAGCATCAGAATAGAGTTCGAAATTCTTGTCCACCTAAAGAAAGTTCAATTTTTTTTTTTTTTAGCAAATTTGTCTGACAATCATAAGAGTTGCAATAAACAAACTATCATAAGCAATTAAAACATCTTTTTAATACCTACCCTTTTACCGAGCAAATAATCTTCCCGATTAACCAATGATTTCGTGCCTTCATAAATCCATGCAAGTTGTCCATCATCCTTCCCTTTTTCTGCCATCATTCAATCAAATAATCTCTTAAAATGTGAAAAATAAAAAATTATTATCTCAACCAAATAAAAGCATTAAAATCCAATATATCATAAATAATGACAATTACACTTTACACAAAAATCATATGCAATATCGATTAACTCACAAATCATCGAATAGTTATTCTAATAAATCAATATTTTTCCTTGATCAACAAATTATCAATTATTACCAATTCAGCATGTTTGTATTATTTTCACAACTAATTCATCACTATCAGTCAATAATCAGAAAAAGCAAGGAGAAATTTACAAAAAGTAAAATCATAAGAATCACTAATCTTCTCCTTCGGCCTTTTTTTCTCAGCTCAAGTAACAACCATAAATAACAACGGTTCGCTATGAAAACTTCATCGTCTCTCACAACAGAAATAATCAAATAAACTAATTGTGGTAATATTAATTTTCAATATTTAACAGTAATAATAATAAACAAATAAATAAATAATATAAATAACAGACACTAAGTAATAATTAAACTTTAATAATGCAATTAATCTGATAAATGTATTAGTAAAAAAATATATTTTTTAAAATTGTTTGCATTACATTTAAATGCAAATAATAATGCTTTATTGATTATGGTAAAATGAAAGATTAATTGAAATGGGTGCAAAATGCAAATATAATAATTTAATAATATTAGAGATGAAATGAAAATGTTTACGACCAGTGCTTTTAAAGATTAACTACTTATCTCTTTATATATGAAATTTACTTACTCTTCTAATTATTCAAGCTAAATATGTTCATCCCTTGTATTAAATTAATATTACAACCAAATTGTACCAAAATAATTTAAAAAATATTTCATTAAATCATATTACAATCAAATTTTCAAAAAATATTTTACTAATTTATATTATAATCAAATTTTATTAATAATTCGAAGGATAACTATTAATGATAAGAATTTTATTAACTGAAAATTGCAGCAAGGAGTGAAATTATACGTGGTGAAATGTGATAAATAGTTATCTTATCATTGACTTATAATTATTGGCATTAACTCAATCAATCAATCAATCAAAATTGCTTATTTGACTTTGCTAATAAGTAATAATCAGTAAATCTTTTTATTATTTAATTGAAGAATTAATAATTGTAAATATGAATGCTATTATTTTAGCTATTAAAGTTATTATTAAGTGAAAAAGAAAATAACAAATTAAAGATCACAGTGTTTTTTTGAAATATATTATTTTGTAATTTTTCATTCTAACAAGTGATTGATTAATTTTTATATTTGATATTAGCATAAATGATGCTATCACAACAAATTAAGTTTTACAATTTAGTAAAAATATGGTATTTGTGTATTGGAAAAAGAAAAATGGATAAAATTGACTAGTTTTGTGGAAAAAATACCAAAATATAGGGTAATAATGAATAATGATATTAATATTAATAATGATAATACTAATAATAAAAATATTAATAATGACAATGATAGTGATAATAATAATAATAATAATAATAATAATAATAATAATAATAATAATAATAATAATAATAATAATAATAATAATAATAATAATAATAATAATAATAATAATAATAATAATAATATTAATGATAGTAATAATAATAATATTAATGATAGTAATAATAATAATAATGATAATAATAATAATGATAATAGTAATAATATTAATAATAATAATATCAATGCTAATTTATATATTTTATCACTAAAAGTGCTGAATGAAATATCATTATGATATATTTCAGTGAAAAAAAATAAGCGAAAAACTCTTTTTGCAACTAACATAAGACAAATAGTTATTACATTTATATTTTTGATTGCTTTGAAATGAAATTGAATAATTGTTGATAAAATGTATTTCCGAGGAAGAAATGAATAAGTACTAATATTCGATTATTTTTTCCATTTTTTAAAATTAACATTTTAAAAATTTGTATATATTTTTGTTAGTTTTTGTTTTACATTAAATTATTGACAATATTTCATAGCTATAATTAGATAAGTGATAAGTATCACTGATAAGACAATGTGCTATTAAAAATTGCATTTGGATTGATATAGTTGTATTATTGGAAATAATGTTTTTGTAAAAGACTGATGAATTGTACCTGAATGATTATTAAAATTTAACTCATGAAACTATTTTAACAAATATATTAAAACCTAATATTACTGTATAAATTTGTTCAATTTTTTTTCTTTGTAATAATTAACATTATAAAATATTATAATATATTAATTTCTCATTTTTCATTTCATTTATTAAATTGATAATCGGTCATACGTTTATACAACATACATTTATTTCAAATCATTTTTACAAATGTATTATGCATTTCAAAATTGATTTCATATCTTTGATTTTTATATTATGCACTCCATTAATGATAATCATCAATAATTTATCACTTTTCATTAGATAAGCTTTTAAATAAATGAATTGTAAATTAAAATGTAATAATAAAATTTGTTAGCTTTTTATAGAACTTTTAAAGATAATGGAATTGAATTAATATTTATATATTAAAATGCTGAAATTATCCAATACTTTAAGAATGAATTTATGAAATTCTATAACAGAAAAATGAGTAATTTTCATATGTTAATATTTATAAATTATTGATTAGTTCTGTTATAAAAAAAAAAGAAATATTGAAATAATTTGTTAAAACACATTTATTTTAGAATGTTTGTAATATTAAACGTACCGAATAAACGTACTACAAGAAAAAAAAAAACACAAATTTTTATTTGAAATAAACAAAAATCCAAGATTATTTATACCATTCAATTTTTTCAATGCAAAAAATTTTAGTTTGCCACTTTTTTTTTTTTGTAAAATTTCATGCAATCATAGAAATAGAATAAATGTGTCAAATAAATAATATTAATCATTGAAGTTTTCAAAATTTTATGATTCATAAATGCTACGATATTAACAGTTCAGTAAAAATTCAATTATCCATTTGATCGGAATAAAATTAGCTACTTTTTTTTTTTTTAAGTTTATTTCATTTTACATTCATTTTTATCGATACAAATATTATAAATTGGTTAATCAAGCATAAGTTTAATTATGTTTTATAAAAGAAAAAATACATTTAATTTGTTTGTTCTTTCACTTATTCTCTTTCATTTTACTTTTAGTTATTCATTTGTATAACACATTTGTTGATTGTTTTTGATAAGAATTTAGCTTGAAAAGAAGCATAATTGAATAAATGTATCGTAGAAACAAACAATTTAAGAATTTTTTTTTTTAAATTTTTCGTTGTTAAATGGAAATAAAAAAAACATAAAAATGATTGGTTACTGCTTATATCAATCAATTGCTAACATCAGAATTTATGAAATGATAAAAAATATGAACTATTCATTAAAATCCTTCAAGTTTCCATCGATAATAGCTATTGTTAGTAACTCCCTCATTAAATTCAATTCCATTTAGCAATACTATTTCTCTAGCAATCATTATTCAATTATTACTTTTTATTATTTAATTTTTATTTATTATTATTTAATTTTTATTATTTATTATTTTAAGCAATCATTATTCAATTATCTAATTTTCTTCCTAATCTGACACCGATCATTGACTTTATATCATTTCTAAGCACCTTTATTCTCTTCGAGATATGATAAATGTAACTCTCCCATTTAACCGTTTTTATTTTTAGATGTTTGTTATTACTACTTCTTAATTTTGACAATACTTGTATATTATAAAATATCTCAGCACAAGATACTCAATCATCAGATGATTACAGCTACAGTAATAAAGCATAAAAATGATTAGACATATGTGACGTGAATACACGCATCCTTACGTGTAAGTTTGTGAATTCTCCAGTAATGTTGTTGTCCTCTTACATTTCGGTTCACGGATAAAAGGCGTTATGAACACCGATTAGGTGTGACTATTGAAATTGACGTAGACGAATTACTTTCAAATTCACGGTGAGTTCTTTGGATAAGTTAAGAAAGTAAGGGAAAGAAATTGATTAGAATTAACATTCTGTCAAACGATCCTACATTGTTTCTGTCTTTGTAAAATGCTAATACGTGAATTTGAATAATATAATATGATAATAATATGAGAAATATGAAAAATAATGTAATATTATTCAAAGACATATTCAATCCATCAAACTGTCAATATCACTACAACATAAAAAAGATACTTAAAATATATTTTCATATCCATTCAAACATGATTTCAGTTGCATTCTGCTGAATTAAAACTTAAATTACTACCACTGCACTGCTATGGGATAATATAAGTAATATGAACTAACATTAAAACAATAGAAAATGAAACAAAATGATTATTCATTATTTTATAAAATAATAATTTTCCATTTTCATCCATTCATGGTTATCGTTATAGTACACAAATGATCAGTCACGTTTTCCCACGCAACTTATGTGTGAAATGCTGGAAACGTAAGACGTGTAGCACGCTGTACCCACTTCCACACACGCACACACAGAAATTTTTTCGATTATGGCGAAGTGTTCCAGAACCAAGAATTTTAGGTTGAGACAGAGACACATAAGAGATTTATGCTAAAAATTGGAGAACCAGACGAAAAAGATGCATAGATAGTAGAAGAATGCAAGTAAACAATTTTTATCCATTCGCGCCGAAGTTTGTATTTAAACGTGTTGGCAAAGTAGGGTGGTAAGTTCTGTCGATGAGACGTATGTAACGTGAATTACGTGTGCGTTCATACGTGTATGTTTGTAAGTTCTTCAGTAATGTTGTCTTTTTATGTTTAGATTCACGGAAAAAACGTATTATCAACATCGATTAACCATGATTATTGAGAGTGATGTAAATGGATTACTTTCAAATTCACGGTGAGTTTTTTTGATCAATTTACAAAATTTTTACGATCCAGATTTAAATTTAAAAGTTTCTGAAGCTCTTTACCAAATGCTACGTTTGTCACAATATTTTGAATTTGTAGTTGTTGCATTAAATGGCTCCACACTCATAATTATTTGAGTTATCAGTGATTCACCATTAAATTCCATGCCGGAAGTACTATATACCTTTCTTTAGTTCCGTCTTATGATACATTTTTATCGCTCTTACGATCTTCTAGGAATTATGGGAATTAAATCAGCGGTTATAAAGTCATTTTCTCTCTCATGTTTTCTCTCGGAAACTTTCTATTCAAACAATATTTATATTGGAATGAATATAAGCCGATTAAAATAGCTAGCGAGAGCTTGACATTCAATTTTTTCTGTAAAGGCTGATATCCATAAGTTTTTAGGGTTAATTTTTGCCATATCGACCAATTAATTGTGTGTAAATTCGATGAAAACATCCTGTCAAAAATCAATAATTTCTTTCTTTGGCTTGAGGAACAAAAGGATATTGGGAAAGAAATTATACGAAATGAGTGAGTTTGATTTCGAAACTAGTAGTTGTGAATTTGATGGAAATACATGTCAAATCAGACTTCAGTTCGTTTATTTTTAGGACATATCAAGATTGTTTTATTATCTTGTAGAAAACACCTTTGTGCGGTAGTAAATAAGTTGCTAAATTCCTTTAAGCATATGCATGTCAAAACGTTACTCATTCTTTTGATTCACTGTTCTCTTTTTTGTTGTATAAATTCTCAAACCAATACAATTTATCGTTGAAAATAACCTGTAAAATTGAAGAATTTTAATACGTTCCAGTAGCTTTACACCAGAACTAATTTTCCGTTCTTTCCATTTGTTTTCATATTGGGTTAAATAAATGGTTCATAGTTTTGCCCGACACGATGTTTACTCAAGCTCAAAGTTTCAGGACAGGTCGCACACGTTTACCCAAAACACCTAAACGAGGATACTGTTTTTCACAGGAAGCAGAAACTTTTCAAAAATGTAGGAAAAAGCTTTTGGATAGTGTTAAAAGAAAAGGAGCTGCTATTTTTGCAAACGATGGGTATGCTGCAAAGAATTACATAAATTAGTTGGACTGGTTTGACTTTCATGGAAGCACTTTTTGTTGTAGGAAATTCCCCTATCGTAATCGTTATGAAAGATATTCTTAGCAGTTACCCGTATGACTGCTACCTGAATCGTGTGTGTCTTCGGTTGGTTATATAACAGTTTTACTTAGGTTACTTTTGATGTGATCGGTTACGATATGAAATAGTATGTGATAAATTCTGAAAGTGTTCTAAGAACGTTCTTATTATTCTTCTGTTTTCAGAAATACTGCCCTTTGTGCTGTACAAACTCCGAAATCTTCAAGAAACGCTACTGCGGTGCGTATTTTCAGTAATGTTGCTGAACTTTATAGTTTATTCATTTTCTCTATGTTTCGTAATTTCATCTTTTTCAGCGAGCTGTAAAACAGGAGACAATGTTAGCTGGCCAAATGAATGGTCGGAAAATACCAATACCGCCTGTACCCGCTCCTAGACAATATGTCCCAAAACAACAGACACCCATTAAGGTTGCAGTCACATGCTTGGTTAAATATAATTATGCACTTAAATTCTGCTTTTCCTAATGAGACATATGTTTTTCAGGTTAATAAGTATCCTTCAGTTACAACTTCTTCAAATAACACAGCAAAGCGGTAAGGAGTTCGATTTTCTGTTTGGATCACGATTTTGCTTTAGTGGGTATAGTTTTTATGAAAGGATGGTGAGTATTTTCCAGGACACCTCTTAGAAATGGAATGACTCCGAAAATCACCACACAGAAAACTCTGGTTAATTCGGAAGCCACTGCTCGAAAAATTACAGTTACTCCAAAAGCGACTGTTCAAAGAACTGTTGTCACCCCAAAAATGGCTGATAAGAACATTACAATTACCCCAAAAGCGATTATTCAGCAAGTCAGCTTCATTTTTATAGCATGTCAAATTAATCTGGTTTCAATTTTAGATGTATCTAGTTCGTGGTAACAAATTAAGGTGTAGATAAGATCACAGTAGATCAAAATCATCTCATTGCCTAGGCCTTTTAACCAAGAGGCAGCTGTGCTTAGAATGTCTTGAAAGATAATATATTCAAAGTTTTCCATTGCATAAGTTTTCTTTACAGCCAACATTCAAGAGATCTGAAGTAATACGTAAAATGGAGAAAAGAACAAATAATGTAATCAAAAACAAAGAGGAACTGATGAAAGAAAAGGCAGAACGTGCAAGGAGGTCGATTATTATTTGATTACATAGAGTTACCATATTGTCGATTCTAAATTTTAGCTAAATTTGTTTATTGACGTTTTTTAAGAAATTCTGTAATATTTCGTCCACAGTAGACTTAGCATTCGGTAAAGAAGTCATCACTAAGGAAATGAATTTGTGAAATGCTAAGAAGTTTTGAATCAAACTCGCTTTTGAAATGCTAATTGAAATTCAGAGATCGTGAGGAACGGGCGTTACGCGTGAAAATGAATAATAAAAAGAAAGAAGAGGAAGCGCTCGAGAAGCTTCGGATAATAAAAATGCGCGAACAACAAATCGAAGAACTGAGGCAAAAACAACGTGTGCCGCAAAGAGCTATCTCAAAATCACCCTGTCGTACTAGGTTCTGTTATAATGATTAATAATTATTTCAAAGTTTGAGTGTGTGGAGAGAAGCTTACATGAGCAAGTGGAAAAATTTTCTTCCTAAACCAGGAAAAATGTCGCATGGAAATTGAATAGTAATAAATTAAAAACAAGTATTATAGAGCCTATTACAATCGCATACAAAAACCACTCGTTCGTGCGAAATCTTCACAAGATATTTCTGTATCAAAGAGCGCATCACAAACAAAGATGACAAACGATACACAGGTTTGTCTTATATTATCAAAATAGTTTTAGTTTAAGAGAAATTTTGCTGAAATTTCCAACTGTTGTTTTTCAGGAAAACCTGCAGTTGCAAGGAAAACGGAACTATGTCGATAGCATCAAACAGGATATCGATATCCAGAATAAAAGACAAAAAATGGAATCGATAGAATGCAGTGAAACAGATAACACTGATAGACATTCCATCAAGACCGACATGCTAGAAAAAGTGCTGAGTGAGGAACCAGTTGATGTTCATATTCATACTGAATGTCCTGAAAGTGATGAAAAAAGAATTTCTGAAGATAAAGGAAATTCAGAAAACACTATATATGTGAATAGTGATTCAAACGAAACTACTGCAATAATCGAACAAGAAATATTGGGATCTTTGCGAAATTGTGATGTTAGTCCTGATATTGTGTTGCATTCACCTGTAGTTGAAAGTTCGGAGATCAATGAAAAGGAAAATGTGGATGAAGCTTCACAGGTCATGGAAGTTGACAACCTCACTGCCGAGACAAGTAGTATAAATAATCAGACTTTTGATAAAAGGTTATTTTTGCTTGGTATTGAGCTCCTAGATATTTAAAAGATGTTTAGTTCTGAAAGCATCTTGGCACATATTTTCAATACACAAAATTTTGTGAATTTCTAAAGAGTTGTTATTCTTATTGCATTTTAGCTTAAATGTGTCAGAAAACGAAACATTGGATGATATTGGTAATAACTATGATGTAGAGAGCATTTCGTCAAATGATGAAACAGATGATGAAGAGAATCCACGAAAACCGATTCCTCTTTGGGCGCAAGGTCAGTGTTAATTTCTATTTCCGAAATGTGGCATTGCCACCTGCAAATCGAAAGAAATGTTGAGCCATATGAAAGAAGTTTTCCTATATGTCTGCATTTATTAGTTAATTCAAATAGTTGTAGAATAGAAGAAATGACAATAACGAGAAAATATGATTTTAGCAAATAAGTGCTGCTTTTAATTTCAGGAGAACGACTGCAAAATGCGTTACAGAAACAAGTTGTGCAACCGTCCATTGATGCTGATGCGTATTTTGGACCAGTACGAACACCTATGCTGAACAAAATTTTTGCAAGGAATCGCACACGTTATAATAAACGAACATCTTCAGCCCTGTGGACATCACCAATGAGTAACCCAAAGAAGGGGACGAGTAAATTTTTTGAGCTGCAGAGCGTCAAGTACGGCAATAAGTCACGATATCACGATGAACTGTTGAAGTAACTTTAACCTCACAATAGTGTGAGCTTGTTTTAACAACTTTTTGAATTTTTTCGGCAAATGTAGTCATTATTGTTTGCATTTGTTATCTATTTTGAGCTCTTTTACTTGTAATTTTCCTCATAGGTAATAGCTATAGCTGCAACTTTGAAAAGAAATAGAGTTATGCATAAATGCTTCCACAATAAAGACCCTTATTTATAACAAAAATGTGGTGACAACTGAATGTGTAACCAAATAATGTAGCAAGCCCTTCATTTTTTTTTTGTTTCCAGAAATTGATTTTGTAAAGGATTTTTCTTCCCGAAAGAAAAAGAGCCTCTTTGATTTTTGCTATTTTATTGTATCATCGTTTGTGTATGTCCCGAAAGAATTTCTTTTAAATTTACAATAAAATTGTGCAACATACGCTCTAAGAGACACTACTTCTACGCCATAGGTATTTTGAAATGATTCCTTCTTCCTTCTATAGACAAATTATACAAGTATTGTTGTGTAAAGCACCGAACATAGCGATGTTAACATTCCTGGAGAATGTTAACTAACCAGATGATATAACAAGCCTTTCATTTTGCTTTTTGCTTCCAGAAATTGCTTTTGTAGGCAGTTTTCTTCCTGAAAAAAGAAAAACAAAAATTTCCCTATCTGATAATGGCACAGTAATTTTTGCCATTTTATTGTATCATTGTCGTATGTTACATAACCAGAAGACCTTAATAAAGATGTAACACTATCTTTTATTCAATTGAATTTGATGATAATGGCCTTCCCACTAAGAATTTGATAGAACAAACCTGTAAAACCTATGTAAGAGAAGTTAGGAGGGAAAATTCTTATAAAAATGTGCCATGAAGTTATTAAAAAATGAAATTTGAGAAACTATAGACCAAACTGGCATTAGTTACAACTGGAGTTTAGCATACCACACGATCAGCAAAGAAACCGTGACGTTTTCTCAAATGTTGTTTATTGATCTGTATAATAACGGATATGCATATTGAAATAAATAGCTTATTCTTTGGAATCCAATTGACAATTGTACAAGAAGAAATAGAAGACAAAGTCTATTAGTCATCTATAAACATAATTTTTTCCACTGAAAAGAATAAGCAAATCGATATTACAAGTATGTGACCTAAATTATTTTTGGCATGTTTTGCAGTTTTTTATCATCCAGAAGATGTATTATTACGCTCGTCTAATCAGAACAATAATAGAAGCAAAAGTTTCAAAAATAGTTGATAATAGGATTAAAATAGATAATGGCACTGGGTGCTATACATTCGGTGATAAGCTCAAAAGCATAATTTGCCAGTGGAAATTATCATCGATCAAGATAGTAAGATCAATTTAGATTCAACATACGATAATGATAAATTCAGTGTGAAGGCAGCGGGATGAAAGAGAAAAGTAGTGGGATGACAAAACATGGTATCATCTTGGCATACCATAAGGGTGTCATTTACAATACGTTGTGATAATTCATCTTCATTAAGATCTTTTGGTTATCGCTGACTGATAGCGGAAATATTTCTTTAGCTGAAATTTTTCTTTTTGTTTTTAATTTAACTGAAACTATTATGGGAATATGTGCGCCAATAGTGCATTTTGTGAAAGGAAAAGAATTCAAAAGGAGGTAAACAACTACTGATAAGTTATAAAATTCTTTTGATTAAATACAATGCTACAGTGATATCAGACAAAATTTTTTTGATTAAATAATACCTACAATGCTACAGTGATGTCAGACATAGTAGCATAAAACTACCAAATAATAGAACATATATCTTAAGTTTACACGGCTCTGGAAGAGCAACAAGTTTTTTAAATAACAAAAACATAAAGCTGCAAACAAACAAAGCAATTTTATAAGTTTCAAGAATTTATGGTCCTTGGATAAACAACAAAAATTCAAAAGATGTAAAGATATAGGGTCCAAGTATATTACTATATTTTGTTTTCCTATTATTCAGATTCTTAAGTTTGCTGTGAGAATAAAATCATCATTTGCTATCATTGTGATGTCCAATGCATGACCTCATACACCAGTCAACCCCGCTTTCTCCCTGTCCATTCATCCGGAACTTCTCTCTTACCTTGGTTGGTGTTTTATTTTCAATCTGGTCCATCTGTTCTGCTTATTGTTGGGTCATATCTTGCTCATATTCCATTCGATCGCTTATCTTCTAATCATATCACAGTTACTGATATCACAATTACTTAGACAATGATCAAAGTAATTGTATTGATATCACTATTAGTCATCTAGTAATCTTGAAAGCAATAGGAAAATCATAACTATTTCAACACCAATTGCAATTATTTTCGATAACAGTTAGAATAGTTCTTAATGGTTTTTTATAATTGCTGTAATAATATTCATGAATTTCTTTACTGCATTTTGAGAGAAAGAAGAAAAAACTCCTTAATTAAGTAATAATTTTGCTTTTAATAGTTAATGGTTTTAATTTATATAATGATATGAAGTTAATCATTTAGATTTCCTCCTAAAATGGTTTATCCTATGATATGATGACTACCCAAGTATCAAAAGATCAGATAGAAAATTCTGAATTATTGGATTATTTGAGAAAATTCAGAAATCAGTGGTTCCAGTATTGTTGTGCAGCAGTTTTTACTATAAAGTTTCTGCTGGTACCATGCTATCATAGCACCGATTTCGAGGTAAATAATTCGAAAATGGAGTAAAAAATTCTGTATAGTAATCTTTCTTCAGTAAAACTTATTTTTCAAAAAAATAAGTTGAGAAAAGATTGGAAATTAGAATTGAAAAAACTCGAAAAGAAATTAAATTGAAAATTAAACTTAAGCTTTTTTTTAAATATAGGTTCATCGTAATTGGATGGCCATTACACATACGCTTCCCATTTGTTCATGGTATTATGAAAGCAGATCGCAGTGGACGCTTGATTATCCTCCATTTTTTGCTTTTTTTGAATATTTTTTAAGTCAGGTTAATAAAATTATCATTTGTGATTTAATTGCGAGATACTTCATACCTTCCAGTATGACTTAAAATAGTTCCAATTGTTTTAGATTTATTTGAGTGTAAATGAACAATGTTTAGATCGCAGCAAAAATCATTCCTTCTGCATTGGTACTGCAAAAAGAGGCATATTTTTCTACTGAATTATTGTACTTTCAAAGATTTTCAGTGATTGCAACGGACGTTTTTTATGTAAGTTTTGTAAGTTTTATGTAAGTTTCATTGCGTATGTGTAGTATAAGTTTAAATATTCCATTTAATTACGCATCTCAATGTGGTATTCATAGCAATTTTGTCCAAATTTTGTTTTTATTCTGCGAAATTTCAGGTCTTATCATGTATTTTTGTAACGAAAAGTTTCCGTAAATTTTACAAAAATCATAACGTGGAAAAGAATTCATTTGCTGCTGACATTTTTCTCATAGCTAATGTTTCATTGGTGATGATCGACAACATGCATTTTCAATATAATGGTATTCTAACATCACTTTTGTTACTTTCTCTGGGTTGGATTATGAGAAAGTCTTTCCTATGTGTAAGTGCTGTTTGTTATTTGATCATTTTAAATATTCCACTTCATTACATATCTCAAAAAATGAAATAATAGTTTGTAAGGACCGTGATAAATTATCTATTACTTGATAATCTCATATTAGTTCAATTTTCTTTATTTTTACTAATTCCTCTGCTGATTTTCTCCCCATCGTCTTAGGTGAGAAAAATTTTCAACTCCGTCAAATATAATATAGCATTTAGAAATGTCAATTAATACTCTATCACTGATTCACGATGGCCTTATGCCTCAAAAATGATAGTAACTTTGTTTTAAGGATCTGTATTGATGGATACAGAATATTAATGATAATTAGGTATTCGTGAAACTTTTATGTGTCGTAATGTTTTGTAATTCATTTTCAGGGTGCATTGACTTATTGCATTCTATTAAATATGAAACATATTTATCTGTATTATGCACCTGCATATGCGATGTACTATTTTGTGAATTATTTGATTACTTCCAGAAAGACTTTCATAGCTAATGCTGCAAAATTAACTGCTGTTCTTATTCTTCCATTTGCATTATCTTTTGGTAAGGTAAATGTTTCATATTTTTCCAATATTGTTTTTAAGCTTCAGATCATGTAGTTTAATGATTTTGAAATAGCGGAGATTAAGTAAGTATTCAATGAATTGTAGCTTGATTCTTCAGACTTTCATGGCGTTTTTGCGGACATTATCTTTTATGGCTTATTTCTCTGACTATATTACAAACTTTGTTTTGGTATAAACTTAAGCAATGCAAATCTTTATTACAGGTCCATTTATTTACTTATGTGGTCCTGGTGTTCTGCAGCAGTTATGGAGACAGTTGTTTCCGTTTAAGCGTGGTCTTACGCACGCTTACTGGGCCCCGAATTTATGGGCATTTTATAATTTTGCTGACTGGTTTATCTATCAAATGTTGAAATTGATCAAACGATTGCCAGCAAATGTTCATTCTCCTGCTTATACTTCGGGTCTTGTACAAGTACCTTTTCATTTGTTCGATGTACAGTCCTCTATTTTCTTTTTTATAGCCTGTAGTAATAGCTGATGAGCATTTTAAGCACTCTTCTCAAACTTTGCTCTTTAAATTTTTAATTTTAATTAAAAATTGGACTAAGTTATTTGAGGAATTCGACCATTCTATTTTGCCTTCTGTATCACCGTTCGGAACATTGCTAGTGACATCAACGTTACTACTACCGCTTGTACCACTTATGGGTACTCGACACTCGAAGAATTTTCCTCTTTTACTCACATTATCTTCATTTGCTTTCTTTCTTGCTGGTTATCATGTGCACGAAAAAGCAGTTATACTCATCACCGTTCCGTATACTATTTTAGCTTCCTCAGTATGTTGCATTTAATAGTGTTTTCTATAGAAACTTATATTTACTATTGTTGTAACTAATTTAGTTGAAAAAGCAACTTTAGTGATGGTATTTTTACCATA